TTAATATATTAATATAACTTTATAGTTAATACATAGTGTGTTCAATTACTTCTAGGAATAAGTAAAAAAATATCAAGACATTATAGGATATAAAGAAATTTATTTAATACTTTTAAAAAATAATAATCATCCTGTTTTTCAGTACACTTTCTTTAATAATTCTACTATCTAGAAACATTTAGAAAAGTCAGCTTTTTTCAGGAATTGCAACATTTTCTTCAGTTTCTCTTGTATGAGTTCTGTTGACTCAAACCATTTTCCTTTTTTAAAGTTTTTCCAATTTTTGCTAAAGGGAAAAGTTAAAAACTTTAAAAGAAAACAGTTTGAATCAGCAGAACTTGTATAAGATGAATTGAAGAGAATTTTCTGATCTTTCGAAATAAACTGACTTTTTCCCCTCCCTCTGAATGTTTTTTGAATTGGAAAAAGTATATTAATATTGAAGCTCTGGATGATAAATTTCTTTATATGCCATTCTTCAAAATTATTAAATTACCTTTTAACTTTGTGACCCATTCCTGAAAATTTTTGAACAAGACTGGTGCATTTCACAATTTAGTAAGATGAATATTAAAACTAATCTTTTAAAATTTTTTATATGCATTTATTTTNCATCTACAACAAATCGGAAAAGTTTCAAAGCTAGGAAAATGGATACCACATGAACTGTCAATAGCTAATTGACAACAACGTCAACTGCTCAACTCCAAAGCTTCAACTGAAAAATTTTACCTCATCCACCATATTTGCCAGATATTGCTCCCAGTGATTATCATCTTTTTCGGAGTTTGCAGAATTTTTTAAAAGGAAAAACTTTTGAGGATGAGAACAATGTTAAAAAGGCTATTTCTGAATATTTTGATTCAAACCCGAAATCATTTTACAAAGACGGGATTAAAAAGCTACCATCAAGATGGCAAGAAATTGTACAAAATAATGGTGAATACATTATAGATTGAAATAGAATTTAGTTAAAATTTTTTGTTGCTTTTTTTGTAGACAAAAATGCGCACGAACTTATGGACTGACCTGATAAATGCTAATAACGAATGAACTCGTCATTAAGTCCGACTGTACTGGAGATATACACGACCCCCATTATCTCTCCACCCTCTCGACTTTTAATCACCAAAATTTAACAGCATCAATCCCCTAACACACAAACCTAACTACAAAATTTCAGAAATTTACGACAAAAAGCACAAGAGTTATTACGCTTTATATAGGATGAACAAAATCGTGCTCCCCCTACACACAAACATCCCTGTATATAGACGAATTCCGGGCCCACCAGTGGCCAAGCTGTTTTGTTCCCTAAGCACCGTGAAATAAATCAATTACAGTAATAAATGTGATTATTGAAAAATACATTTGTAAAACCAGCTATAAACATGATTTGAATATTATCTTATATCTTCTATTTTTTCTTCTCTTTCATATCCACTGTTATTTCTAGGAATATAAAATGTTTTCCTTTTAAACAAATTAAATTGAAAAGCTAGAAGAATAAGAAAGGTAATCATAATAAATTTTACAAATATTTGATTTCTAGGGAACATTCGTATCCATCCGACACAAACCAAATTGTCTGTTATCTCTTGAACAGAAAGTATTATATTAGTTCACATAATTACCTCTACAGCAGTTTGGTATAACAGATATAACTTTGACAAATATTTCGACTTTTCGCCAGACTTCTTACAATTGCAATACATGATCTTAATTCCAAATATCTCTGAAGACGTGAGGATTGGTCACGAAAACGACCAAGCACAAACTACGTTTCGCATAATCTGAATACATTGCATCTTTTGTCGAATTATTTTTAGTTCGAACACTTTCTTTTCTAAATATTTAGATGACTTCTTTTGTGCCCATCATAGATTAAATCATGTAGTACGAAGGAATGGTGAAGGACACCTCATAGGAGACTACAGTACGAAACTTGATAGGAATTTGGCTTAGAACCCAAATCTTCAGAAAATGCAGCGTTTATGAGAAAATGAGTTTTCAGTTATCTCTTTTATACTTTATGAAGACTTGTCAGTAAGTGATAGCTAGGTATTGCGCACCTTGATATAACGAATCTCGATTTATTAAGGACGGCTAACGTCGGCCAGCCAAAAGTATTGATATAATAAATCTTATACCGTAACAGACGCCTTTATAACAGATTCTCCTCACTATGGACGATTTTTCACGTCTGGCAGACCACATTCTTTCTGTTATTGTGGACTTCTATTGTTTTATTTCGTCGCAACCATATTTTAATTTGTTTCGTCATAATCATCGTTTTATACACTTCATTTGCTAAAAATAAATACAAAAATAATGCAAAATTAATTAATTTTTTAATCATTTTCACGACGTACATTTTCACAATTCGTCTAGATTTTGTGTTGATTTCTGATAGAGTAGGTTTGTTCAGTTTTCGTTTCGTTTTCTTTACGATCCACCAATCTTAGATTTGTTGTGTAAAGCGAAGCCATAGATCATAAAAGAAAACGAAAAGCTTTAAATTTATATTTTATATTTTCTGATAGATAGATATATCGTTTAAGGGATCAACCTTTCTTTAATATACTCATTCATATACACTTCTTTGTTTATGCAGAAGCGAGAGGATGCTATGAGTGCTTAAGAGTTTCTTTTTTAGCTGATTGCTACCAAAACCAACACTTTCTGAAAAATTTTTGCATTTAAATTTTAGGCCTATATCTGCCTCAACTCTATGCTTACAATAGTGTTGTTTCTAGCGCAGTCACTTCCATCAAAGATAAAATGCGACTCATCGTCCATAACAACGTCCAATCTATTTGCAGTTTTGGAATAGCCCTGGCGTATTTTTCTGGCCGAATCCTTTGCAGATATTTGATTTGTTTTTTGAGTATTTTTGATTGATTTTCGCTTCCGTAGATTAACATTTGCTCGACTTATATGTTTTTAACGTACTAATGGTCCGGATGGCAAGCGGTCAAGGTGGCAGCCTACTACTCTGGGGCAGCGCCGTAACTAGCCTTTCACGCGCCCGGTGCGAGCTACTGTAACTACGCCCTAAAACTATAATCCAAAACTAGGTCCAGGTCATTTCTGCGGCCCCCAGGGTCTGCGCCTGTGCCTGGGCACCGCTGGCACCGCCCTAGTTACGGCACTGCTCTGGGGGACCCGGAATCGATCCGGACGGGTCGAAAAATCCCCAGGAATATTTCGGAGGGTGGTCCGTCTGAATAAGTCGGGTCCCGTTCCCCACCACCCTGTCACCCCATTGAGGGCCTGGCCGAACCCATAATGGGCTTACTAAAAGAGACCCTTTTAGTTCTCAGAGGAAAAAAAAGAGTTTATAAAAGCCGCATATCCTTACAGGTAGAGAAAATTAATTAATATATTTTAAAAAGAAAGCATATTACAATGTTATATTTGATAAGTTACAGTAGATAAAGCCTATGTTGAAAAAATTAATTCTAGTTACGTTTATATTCATTACACAAGATGTGTCCATGAATCTTTCGAAGCAAGAACTTTCGACAGAATTTATTATTGCGAATAATTTCCTGAGATAATTTATTAAATTTCAAGCTAAATTTGTACTAATAAAAATTTTTAGAAATTAATTTTTCAGGGATTTTGCTACATTTAGTGATTTCAATGTATTTTACATGAATAACTTGAGAGTCGCCTGAAAGGTAGTTGAGGTTCCCATCTGCCCAGGACAATTTTAAATAGTAAATTTTTATTGACATTACTCAGAAATGATACTAAATATTTACTTATATGGTGAAAGATTATTTAAATAAAATAGCAATTTGTTATTTTAAAGTTTTCGGTTTTTCTAATACGAGCATCGGAGCAATGTACCGTATATCGAAGGTTTTTCTATTGGCATGGAGTGAAAAAATTTATAGCTAAGATTTATTATTATTTTATTTAAAATATCGGCATTTAAAATAAAATCATCACTAGATGCCGCAAGGAATGAGTCACAAGAGCTAACCAACATAAACTAAATAAACACAATTTATAAATTTTTGAATTTTTTGATAGCTTTAATTGGTTGCATCAATGCAATTAATTGCACTTTAAAAATGCTGTACCTTTTACGCGTAAGTTTATTTTTTCAAATATTTTTTCTTCACGTTATTACATTAGAAATTAAAATGGATAATCTTAATGGTTAAAATAATAATAAGAAAGTGGATAGGAGAGATTTATACCTGTATACTCTACAATTAAGTTTGGACGGGATATACGAGTATCAATATGATTGAAGTGCCATGTAGCGATTTGCATAAAGTCTGTAGCCTACTTTGTTATGCAAATATTTGATTTTGAATTATCATCCAAGGTATTACTTTTCTACAAAATATTGTATAATCTTATATCATGTAAGTTGGAAATCGTATTTTATTGTTAGTGAATATTATAACTAACATATTATATAGCAGTGAATATTATAACTAACATATTATATAGCAGTGAATATTATAACTAACATGTACTGTACTTTCATAAATTATTTGATAGAAATAGTGATTTATATATAATAACGTAACATTTGCTACGACTAGCTTTTATAATTTATAATTAAAATTTCTTTACTAATTGTTTATTCAACATTTAAATTTGGTATTAGGAAAAAGATAATGAGGGAATAATTGCTTGTAAAGAATGAAAGTATTGGTTCGGTTATTTAAAATAAGAATTATTCTTTAAATTTACATAATTTTTGATGGTGCAAAAGTATAAGCAGACAGTATACAATGATTTTTCGAAAATAAGCATGGGTTAAACGCGCTATAATGGAGGGTATATAGTGTATATTTTCCATTACAGTGATGCTATTATTATATGTTAAATATGATTAATTTGCTTATTCTGTTTCACAAGATATTGCTCTTTCAGTTTGTTTTTATGTATACGATTTTTGCTCATTACTTTAAAAACAGTGAGATTAAGTTAAGATTTTAATTAAAAACAATTAAATTAATTATTTTTATTTTTAGATTAAAAGAATGCTATACTTGGATTTCTTAATCCTGTTGGTATTTGGATGTTTTGCAAGCTGTTGGATTCATAAATGTCCCAGAATGGAAGATATTCACCCGTGTTTTTGCAGTTCGCACCATACTAGAAATCCGCATGTTCCTGACACCATCGTAGTTTGCCAAAATATCAATAATGAAAAAATTTTAATGACTTCATTACGTGAGATGAAGAACTACAGCATAGACGTTCTTATTTTCGATCATTGTGTAATTCCATCATTTCCGAACGATATTCTCAAAGATATTCGCATAGGAACTATAGAATTAATAAGAAGTACCGTGCAACTTAATAACAAATTTGTAGAATGTATAAATCATTGTTAATATGAAATACTAGATCTTGCATTTTATTATGCTAATAATAATACATTTCCAGAATAACAAATATTAAAAAATTATAAATTATAAATAAAATATTTTATGTCGTTTCATACACAGTATAAGTGATTTGCATAATGTATAAGATTGTAAGCTTAAATATGAGATCATTGTTGTTTATATATTCTCCATTTAAGCAAATAAGATTTAATTTCTTATTTATTTTATGTGTCATAATATACAAATATATGAAGTTTCAACTCGATTAATTTTAATGTATATTTGATTCTCTTTAAATATTATCTGAATAAGGGACACATTGTTATAATGAACTTAATACATTTAATTTTATTAGCTATTTTAAGATTTTAAATAAGATTTTAAAAAATCTTCATGAATATAAAAGTATACTAATGAATTACATAAATATAATCTATTAATTAGTTGAAAAATATAAAGATAGAATATTAAAATTTTAGTGGTAAACATGCCATAAGGAATAACGTACTTTTCCTCTAATAGCGATATCCTGTTTTCCTCTGTAAATAAAATTAAAATAATTTATTTGCACAAGTTTCAAAAATCAGGCTTTAAATATTTTACTGTCTTTATGATACACATTTATGCATCATACAGACGCACAAATGTTTAAAGTATAAAAATGCACATGGGTATTAGGATAGAATATATATATTTATATATGCCATGAATATACAGTATATGTTAATAATCAAATTATTGATATTTTTCTCATATCATTAATATGAACTGAGTCATTATTTAACTTAGCAAATTTTATGTTTAAAATCCAAATAAATGGTTTAGGTTATTAATAAGATTGTTTACATAAGAAATAATATAACATGCACTTGCGTCAAATTTGATTGATCATTTTTATATCGTATAGTTTGTACTTGTGGATAAGCCTATAATAATCAAACTTTACTCACCTTTGAAATTAAGGCGCTCGCAATTAACTACCATCGATGTTCCTTCAGTTGAATATCCTTGTATCGTGATTTCATTTTTATGTACAAAAATGAAGCAGCTTCCGTTTCTTCTAAAACTCGTTCAACATCTACTCTATTCCGTGAGGAAGTTTTTGTAGTTATCTTGAAAACAAGAATCACTTGGCAACTTGCGGGAATACGATTGGTATGAAATTTTTTCGCTAGCGGAAAAGCTCGACAGTTCCGAACATCGAAGCGATTCGCGAAATGGTAAATTTCACCGGAAACGACGTCGCATCTGACGTGTTATTCGCTCGCTCTGTTTCTCGCTTTCCCAGGCGAATCGCGCTCAGAGTGAACTAAGTTTAAGCAATGGAGTCTCGAAAAGCACAGTCGGTAAGTAGTCCTATGATATTTTGTTTATAGCACTTTATATGCGGATCGTCCGAAAAAATTCTGTGTTTTGCAAATGTCTATTAAATATATCGCCTTTTTTAAAGCAAAATAAGAAAAAAATCGCCTATTCCCTCAATGTAAATATTTACCGATGAGAAAAATAAATTCTAAAGCGATAATCCTACCAAACACGTAATACAAACTTTAATGTTTGACTTAAAGTAAAATGGCGGTCGATAGTACCCGCCGTGGCCATCAAGAGCGCTGTATTCTAGCACGTTAGCGTTAGGAAAGAGAAAAACCGAGCTTATTAATTTTATTAATAAAATATATTATGGAAGGATCAAATTATTATTTTTTAAAATATTATTTTTAAAATTATGAAATTATAATTTTATTAATCTACCGAAAAAATTTTTTATAAAACGAGTTCAAGTGTAAACTTTATCACGTGTTCAGACTAGATAAGCTGTTGAGAAGTGAGTAGTGGGAGGATGGCCGCTACTCTAATCGACAAAAGCGAATCGAAACCGGATGATATAAGTTATATATTTGACACGATGAATTATACATCGGCCTCCGATTCGGATGAAATTGTTAAGGTTTTTGATTCTTTTTTATTATTTTAAAATCGAAACTAGTGGGCGTTACCGTTTCGATACACGTGCTATCGATGCAGCATGTGAGAAAAGTTCATGAATAATTAATTTTAAATAACCAATTTGCATTGAATACAGGAATATAATTTCGTGATAGATATTTTATAAAAGTATATTCAGGATTCGTTAAATAAATGTTTTTTTAAACAAAACACATATAAAGCGAAATTATATAAACCAATAAATACATTAAACGCAGGGCGAATCCTGATCAAAAGTTTTGGACATGCCGAAAGTTATAAGAATAATAGACTTATCTCTAACACTAAACAATAGGCAGAAACGTTATTTGGTGTGAATAAAAAAGTATGGACTATTATAAAGCCTATTATATCTAAACTTGAAATATATTATAATGAAAAAGTATTAAAAATTTATGATGATAATTTAATTTTTGCGGGCCCTTAACACTGGGGCCCAGGGCTTTAGCTCTATTAGTTCCTATGTAGATTGCCCCTGTACACAATACATTATGCTGACTGGGTACTGCAAGCTTTGATACAATCTGGCCATGTTAAATGCTTTGAATGACGTCATGAAAAACCTCCACATGAGCAAGTGATCGAGTTTCCGCAAGCATCACACTGACTTAGAAAGGCTAGCTGCCAGTGTAAAAGGAAACACAAATGATAAAAGAGTTTACATGTTGGAATAAATTATTATCGGCATATTTGTTCTCATATAAAAAATATATTGACGGTCAAAACTTTCTCTTAAGCAAGTTCTGTTTGTAAAGAACTCATGCCATCTATTAATTATTTCCTATATTGACAGGACAAAAACAAAATTTCATATATATACAGTTTTTTGATTTATTTTATGTAAATTGTAGAATCATAATATTGTATTGTGCAAATTGTGCTTGAAAATAACTTCATGTATCAAAGGTAAATAAGTTAAATAAATAAAAACAACAAAACAGATTATGTAAGCATTTGTTTCTTCTATATTTTTCTTAAAACTTTAATAAATCCTGTTTAGTTAGTGCAATTAATAGCACAATATATTTTAACTAAGAAAAATCTGTTTTGTAATGCTTTTTACTTAATATTCTCAGCAAACATTAAGTCTTTAAATGAATAAATATGAAAAAAGTTGTTTCTAATAAAGATTTAGTTCTTCATAATTGAACTTTGTTTACATGTATTTTTTAAACTTTATCTGCATGTATTAGAAAAGAAATTCATATAAAAAATGGTAGACTATCTACACTGGAGTACTGTAACACAACCAATTATCTGTAAACCTTTTACCGGTGCGCATTTCATCACACTCTACAATTATGCTACAAACTCATATAGTTTAAAGTTTTTAAGAAATTTCATTTTTTTAAAAATTTAAACATCATTTTTTTTAATAAGAAAATATGAAATGTATTCTAGAGTGAAACATACAAAAATTATTAATATAATAATATGCCAGAATAAATTTTTAAAAAATGCAAGTGAATAGAATATTCAAGTTTTGTTAAGGGTTTGGATGATTTTGAACAACAATTAGTTTTTTATCATTTGTAAATATGAAAGAATTTAATAAGTATAAAAAAATGTTAAATGTTTATAGTATATGTTTGTTTCAATATTATAACTATTCTACTTGTAAAATTCAGTAAATAATATGTGAGAAAATTTAGATATCACATGTGTTTTACAAACTGTATTTCTCCAAAATTATTGAATTTATGTTAGTGTGAAATTCAAAAACAGTGTTTTATTTCATTGTGATATTAAAAAAACATTATACAGGCAACATAATAAAAAATTTATTCACTTATTTTTATTAATTCATCATAAAAATGTGATTTAGTACAAATTTTGATTATTGTATTTTATACATTTTAATTATTTATTATTGTAATAGTTATATATTAAAAGTATCACCAGAATTTGATGCATAAATTTGAATAAATTAATTTATTATTCAGTAAAAAAATTGAAAATTTTGGTTTAAATCATAGTTCAAACCTAAGTTTTTAAAGAAAATTATTATCATTATTTTTTAAAAATCAATATCTGTATAGTTCTAATAATTTCTGTTCCAGTTGATAGAAATAAGACTATAATTATTATAATGTTAATCATAAAGAAATGATACTATTTCTTTCCTGGAAAAATAACAGATCAAAATTTAATTATAAAAGTTTAAATCTACATATTTTTTAATACCATTGTGTTTAATAATCACTTAATTTTTCTATCAGTTTAAAATTAAACCAATAATACTGTGTATTCTAATAGTTAAGTTTTCTATTTAATGAAGTTTTTAATGAAATATTTAATAAGTTATCTATATATTTAAGAAATGTTTAGGAATTTATTGAAAAAGTGTTTCTTTGGAAAAAAGATCCATTTTCAGTGATCTTCAACAGAAGAAATTAATAACTATACTCCAACAATATGGTTTTATTTCCTATAGTTGGAAATAATTACCTTTAGGAAAATTATTAAATCAGCATTAAGGTTTTGCTTGAAGCTGATTTGACCAGGTTTGATGATGATGTGGCATTCTACAATGTTTTTATTAGTGAAATTATGATATAATGTACAGAATACATTTGATGTTAATAATGCTTCATTAACATTGTTACATTGTATATACACATATACATTACTATGCTATGTCACTAATTGACTCTATAATGCTGAATTTTGTTTATTTTTTTATCTTTATACAGGATTGGCTTTCAAGTCACAAAAATATACTTGGATTTTTCATTGATGGCAAGTCACAAGTTCTAAATAAACAACAAACTATAAAAATACCACAGCTTTCTGTTAAAGTTCCTGTGAATGTAATCATTCAATGCGAAGAGGATATTGAAAATGCCATAAACTCATCCCATTCAGCATTTTCTGTATGGAGTAAACTTTCAGGATATACCAGAGCTCATTATCTGAACAAGTATCTATATATTTTCATCTTCATATTAGTTTAATATATTAATTAAGTTCAAATAATAAAATAAATACTGTAAAGTTAATAATTATAATTTCATAAAATTGTTTAAACAAAATATAATTAAAATAGTAATGTGCTTTATAAATAAATTAACTAATTCAATTGCTTTTATAATTTTTAATTTTTGAAAACACAAAAGATAGTCAAACACATTTGAAGTAAATTGTACTGATGTTCTAAAAGATGAATCTAACTAAAAAACTCAGATGATCAAAAAACATACATGTGATAGAAAATTTTATAATATATAAATATATATTTTTATCCAATGTTACAAATTAGTAAAATTNGACAGTCGGTTAACCGAGGTGGCGGTTAATCGGGGGTCGGATAATCGAGGCTCTACTGTACACGCCAATGTACACATGCACATCCGTGAAATTTCTCCCCTTTTTTGACTGCTTTTGGTTCAGAGGTCTCAAAACATCAAGATTTTATACGATTAAATTCTTTTCCGTATTATATTATAATGGCCGGGATAAGTGGAATCCATTCCAAATTAGAAGAAATTATTAAAAACACCTAAAATAATAATAATTCTTTAATTTGCATTCGATACATTTAATACTAAATATAAAATACGTTAAAAGTTTAATAATCAGTAATTTAATTTAAAAAAGTCGAAGTATTATTCTTCGAAAAGTTATAAAATGACGTCGAGTTCTTTATAACTTTAAAAGTACACGTGTATCATTTTACACCCGGGAAATTCTTTTATTGTTAATGAATTCGAATATTAATCATTCTGATAAATATGTTGAATCATTTCCTCATTAATAAGATACTTATCAGCAAAAGGTGAAGCTGCAGATTTTTTAAAATAATAATTAATAAAATAACGTAATAGATGGCATCACAAGCGCAGTTTTTAAAGATCTCCGGGAAAGTTAAGCAACTCGTTGCTGTTTTTTTTAACACGAACTTCACTCTTTAACACCAAGTTAACACAAAGTGGTCGGAGTTAGAGAAAAGGGGAATGAGAGAAAACAAGATCACTGACGACTCTTCTCGTGCTTCACACTTAACCACGCGTTTCGTAGGCGGGAAATCGCATCCAGACGAAGACAACCCCTCCCGTTCCTCCTAAAAAACCTCTATTCTTGGAGTCAACCGGCACAATCCGGAGCGATAACATTCACTATTCCCTCCATAAAAGGAGAAGATCAATACCAATCAAACAGACTGACTGAGTGGAGTGCTGAAAGTCAAAATTTTGCTGACTACTTCTTTTAACAAACACATTGGAGATCCCCGGGGTCTCTTTTCATGTCAACTCGATTTTAATCGATACCCCCGCTACCATAGACGATGCCAAAAGGAAACTTAAAATATATATTATATGCCCCCTCTATTTTTTTGCTAATGGAAAAAGATTCCCCCGCAGTTACACACACACACAACACTATTGTAACCGATTCCTTCTGTACTTTGCACTTCTTGAAAATTTAATAACATTTTAGCAAACCAAGCGTGTTAAGCTGCTCGCATATATATTCCTACATTATTAAGGCTAGTGAGTCTTTGTAAGTGCTCTTCATTTCTTGCCCTCTTATCCTAGTCTCCCCCCTTTCACTTCGGCTCACGCAACATTCGCTGAATTCAAAATTTACTCGGTCTACTCCCCCCTCTGCCAGGCGAAATCATTTAAATTTGCAAATTTTATTGCTGACCGTTGTTATTATGGAAAGTATACTCTCTCTCTCTCTCTCTCTTTCTCTCTCTGTGCTACTAGAGGTTTAATGGAAGAGAAAATGAGATAAATCTCCTTATTAGCATACATTTCTAAAACATGATCAACATATTACATTTTTGTGAGATTGTTTTTCCAATTTTTATAACCTCATTTTTTTCCTCTGTTTCTCTCTCTGTCTGTCTCTCCTCCACTTTGAGGTAGATTGGATTTTTATGATCACGTGAATTCGGCTGCTTTTTTTGTTTGTTAAACACCTCCCTCCCCCCTTTGTCGAAATTAGCAGAATTAATTGAAGGTAAACACTTTTATACGACGATGAGGGTCTTTAAAATCGGGATAAGATGAACGTATTTAGTGTACTTAGTAGCGAGTACAGTAAGTAAAATGTAAAATAAAATAAAACATCATCATCAATTAATTTATCGTCTTAGAAAAGCGTAAAAGAGTAACACGTACTTAGTGTACTTAGTACTTGTTTAGCTTACGTACACTAAATAATACGCGTATTTTTACAGGGCCAATCGTGTGTTGCTCTCCACCCTTATCCAAGATGATAAATTAATTGATGATGATGTTTTATTTTATTTTATATTTTACTTTGTGTACTTAGTGTACGTACACTAAGTAAGTATACTAAGTACTGTACATTGTTTTTTTTTGCACACAAGAACAGGGCCAATCGCGTGTTGCTCTCCACCCTTTTCTAAGATGATAAATTAATTGATGACGATGTTTTATTGGGGGGAAAATGATGATAAAGCTTTAACGATTTTAAAACTACTTTTTATTGTTTTTTTTTATGTTTAAATATTAAAAGCTGTTAAAATTTATGTTAAGTGAGTCTGGTGTTATTTTTTTTTACATATTATCACTTGAAAGTTTTAGTAGGAATGGGTGAGTTTAATTAGTGGTTCTTCTGATTTATCTCCTCCCCTGGGGTCTAACTCGTTTAAATTTCTTATGAGGAATCTCGTGAGCATTCTCCCAAAGCTATGACTGCCAAGTTCAATCTAATATGAAGGCATTTAATGTAGTTTTAGAATGTTTCGTGTTGGTAGCTTGGTGTTTAAGGAATCTTTGTTGATGAGTTTTTCAGTAGCCATTTAGTAGAGGTGTTTCTGTTAGGAGAACGTGAGATAAAGTTTCTTTTTTTTTTTCTCTCTCCCTTTCCTTTACGATCCTGGCTAAATTATGATACGGACGGAATTTTTCCACATATAATCAAATAAAACTGAAACTGTTGCTTGTTTATCACATTAGTAAAATTGAAAATCCAGCAACGAGTTGCGTAACTTTTCCGGCAAGAGTTAAAATTACGTGTAGCTCCATCTGTTACGGGATTTTATTTTTAAAAACAATTTTGTTATTAATTATTATAAAATGCCAGAAAGTTATTTTTGAGGGTAGAGACGATTTTTATATAAATAAAACAAATGTAGATGCTGATAACAAGTAAAATCTTAACTCTGTCCCACTCGACACGTGATCCTATCTATCTCCCCCACCCCGTCGACCTTTAACCACCAAAATTTAGCAGTATTATTCGCAATAAAACGCAAACGTACCTGCACAATTTCTGACATTTTCGACAAAAAGCACAGGAGTTATCGAGCTTTAAACTGGATGAACAAAATCGTGCACCCCCACATAAACATCCACACATACAGGAAATAATCCCCAACTTCTTTAGCATATCCCGAGTCCAAAAATAAAAAAATTTTGGTGGGAGGGTCGGTCTTTTATGACCGATCGCCATATTTTCCCCGTGTTTTAATAGCCGGGACAGTAAAAGGTATTGTTTTAAAACGGAATTCTTAAAGATAAATCACCAAAAAATGAAAAGTATTATGGGGTCTTCGATTATTCGCGTATTCTCTTTGTCTGACCAGCTTTACATCAATAAAATTATCTATTTAAATAGGGTTTACACATATTTCTTGCAGGTGGAATACTCCCAATCTCGTCTAGAGATACAATAAGCTACTTAGAAGTGCCTGGGATTATTGCATCTGCACGCAATAAATATGAATCTAAAACGAACAACTTTACGGAATTTTATTACTTAAATTATAATTATAAAATCATATATTTGTTATATTAACACATGTCCAAAACGGAACTTGCCAAACCAGAAGAAAAGTACCGGGCGGTATCGGTTTACACAGGTTTTACTGTGTTTACAATTGAAAAATTACTGTTTTATAACTTAACTTTTTGCTTGTTCAGCTAACGAAGATGATCGCTTACTCCTGATTAATGGCATTTTACTGTACAATGTGTACAGACAAAGTACAGTTATAGTATTACATAAACGTAAGTAAGAAAACTTTTCTGGTAGATCAGATATACGGTCGCGTGATTGTATCAAATCTAATTGCTGCTAGCCTGCGGTACTCGGTTTACTCAGTTTTGTAATTATTGCTACAGAATTAGTACCGTAATATGTGTTGACGTAGTGTAATCGATCACCGATCACGTGACTAATATGTAATGCTATCACCGTAATAAACTTCCTCATTAATATAAAGCACCAGATCACACGACTGCGACATTAAACGACACTGTCAACCCCGCGGATCACGCCATGTCGTAGTAGAGAAAAAGTAAAAAAAATGGCTACAAGGGAACGGCTCTACATTATCGAATTTTCGCTTAATCCCAATCTGCTCGACTGACAAAGTCAGCGAAAAATCGTTCGCTCAGCCTGTCACGTGAACAGATTGGATTTGTGTACGATCGTACCTTATATCGAGGTCTTAACTGTTTTAAAGACCGAACACTTTTAAATCGCTAAAGCGAAAAGAGAAATGGGGAAAGGAAGAGGAGGAGGAGGAGGAGGAGGAGGAGGAGGAAGAGGGGGAAAAAACAAGCGCATTTTTCATTCCTCCTCCAGCGAGTGTTGATAAATCAATAGGGACGAGGACGTTAAAAGCCATCATTAACGTCACACAATCAACCAGTTTCCCTCGCTAATTCGTTTATTAAGCAATTCAAGGATGCAAAACTGTGAATCGTAACGTCCAACAATAGTTCAATTACGTCTGNCATACATGTGATAGAAAATTTTATAATATATAAATATATATTTTTATCCAATGTTACAAATTAGTAAAATTGAGACATTTTTCTAAAATTAAGAATATTCTATTAAACAACAAATTAAATTGATTGCAATCTTGCAAATTTCAACAAAATATAAAAAGTAATTTTTTTGTTATATTCTTTGTATTATTTATTGTAAGTATCAATAAGTCTTAAATAATGTGAACACTTATGAATACTCTTATATAAGGCAACCAAAATATGTATTCTATAAAGGTTTTTGACTTTCTTGAAGCCATCCTCAGCTACTGTAATACATATTTTAAAATGGAATAATTTGAAAATTATGACAGTTACACATACTAAATTATAATACATCTTTAGAATTAAATTTTTAAAATAGAACCTTAGTTTGTCTTTTCAAATAAACTTAATTTTATAAACTGCTTATTTAAGGCAACTGAAATTATCAGTAAAACATATGTGAATGAGAGTAAAATGTTGCTAGTGGAAGTTGAGTGGGAAAGCAAAAGTTAGGTGACATTTGAGTTCTCAAAATAGAAAACTAGTAAACAGTTATAGGCAAAAGCCATACTTCTATACTCATTAAGCCAAATATGTAACACCAAAAAATGAAAAGCTGATGCTCAAAAATGAAAAATGCTTAAAATGTGTCTGCAAATAAAAAAGAAGTTTAAAGAAGGATGTAAAGAAAATCCTTGTGTTTATTATACTACACTTTGTTGTGTGATATAAATCAAAGCAATTCATTAAGAAGTGCTGAGATGTTTGTGGTATTGAGTTTAATGGAATTGACAGTCTTCAATAATTTTTTACTTTGAAATTTTTCTGTAATATGACATAAGAACTTTATTGAATGTTTTTAGAAGTTACATCATAATTTCAATAATTTTAAATGAGTCTTTACTCTCTCAAGAAACTTAAAGTGGTTTTCACATTTTGGGGTTTGCCTCCTTAATTAGGTTCAAGGCCTTTCTAGAGGGACATGAAAAAATCATTATTATTATTATTCATTTTTGAGTATGGTTCTTGTAAATGCTTTGTATTTTGTCTAATAGTTTGAATGCAATGTAGTATTAAATGTACTCTCAATCTGTGTTTATTTCATTCAATAGCATAACTGTTTTATCAGTTTGTGGCATAGTTATAACTGAGGCTTTTTTTGCATATTATTTTATTAAAGACATTACATTGAATTTTTGGAAGGTAAATATACTTGTAAAGGTTTTCAATCTAAACATTGGCTCAAACATATGGTAACAACATATATATATGTTTAGTAAGTTTTGGTATTAAAACACAAGATATTCTACTAGGAAAATATTGAATGGAGGATGCCTATAATTATACTTATGTAATTAAAATTATATCTATAATCCAAGATTCCATAATCAGATAAATCCTATTTATTATCTAATAATGTAATTACCATTTATTAAACAATGTTTATGTTAGATGTATCTATTGTATAATATAAATTAAAGAAACCACACTTGTTATTGATGATCTTTCTTTAGAATATTTGTCCTCTATGTTGAAATCTTATTTATTAATTTTAAAAACATATAAATAAATCTTATTTGCTATATTATTTATAATGTATATATTTTTTTGAATACTGTGTTAGATTAAAATTAAGGAAATTGATATTATTTATTTAGTTATATTCAGAAATATGTGAATTTTTTTAAAGTTTTAGACATTAGTGTTATAAAAAAAATGTATTTTATGAGTTTGTTGTTTTTTTTTTTTTCAAAATATCTAATTTATGATTTACATTGATATTTCAGCATAGCTAAAATAATTGAGGACAGTGTACAGCTGATGACAATTTTAGAATCAATAGAATATGAAAAACCAGTTTATCTGGTGAAAGAATATGGTATCCCTTGCTTGATTCAAAGCTTGCACTATTTTGCAGGATGGGCTGCTCTGCCAGATGAAATGAAAAGAAAACAAGTTGGTAAGAAATTAAGTCATTATTTATTTATTTATATGATTACAATGATTTATATAATTTTTGTGATAATAGGTGTTGTAGCTGTAGTGATGGATAAATTTGTTAATCCATTAATGGCTTGTTGGGGAATTGTTCCTGCTTTGGCTATGGGAAATTCTGTTTTATTAATACCTGACAATATGTATTGTGCAGGAGTGTTACTGTTTGCTGAAATATGTGCAGCAGCTGGGTAAGTCTTATTTGGAAATACATAATCATATTTTCACTCTGATATTAAATTCTAAATCATAGAAGATATAGCTGCAAAATATAAACTTGGAGATTTGTCATTGATTTATCTCCTTTATTTCCTTATGAGCTGACATGATAGCAAAACTAGTCAGTTTGAGTACTGATAATCTACGTCTTGGTCTGTTCTATTGCATTATAGTAATACAGATACCATGTTCTATAATCTGGCTTATTGAAGAATTTTAATGATTTCCTTCAATCTCTGTAATTATTAGCATTTTATTCAACTTGTTTTTGAATACTTGATACTAGTTAGTTACTAATTGCTCTATACAAGGCAAATTGGCAACACACGTTATCTAATTCTCATTGTTTTCACAAATTACATTGTTTGCTCATTCTTGAAAGTTCTGCTCTTAAAATTATTTGATTCAGCTCCAAGTTAATTTGAAGAAGACAAATATTAACAAAATTGTGTTTGTGTGTTTACTTCTCATGTGACCTTTATCTGACAAGATTTGAAATTGGTCTCAGAATAGTTTGTTATGCTCTGTGATGGCTATTATACCTTGAAACAATTTTACTTTTTTGTGCACACAAGCAAAATCATAATTTTATGCTTTATCCAGGTTAAGTTATATTCTTTATACCTGAAAACCTCTTCTGTTTCTGCATTGGACAGATTTTCAGTTTATTGTATAATTTAACAGAAAATTGCTCATTTCAAAAATTTTTTTAATTTAAGCAGGTTTCCATTTTTTTCAGGTTCTGTTTTACTATATCTTGATATATGTTTAAAAGTATAAAATATGTACCAATATAAACAGAATAAAAAGATAGATACATATGTTAGTAAAATGAAAAATAATTAAAAGAAAATTCAGGAGATATGACTAATATCATTGCTTCAGTGCATCTTCTCTATATAACTGTTAATATTTTTTCAAGCATCCAATATAAACGAATCAAAAGAAGTTTTGCAAATGTATATTTAAGACATTGCTAATACCATGTTTCCATAGAATGAATGATTGTGGTCAATTTAATCATATTAAACTCATTACAATTATTTTTTCATTACTACTACATTACTTCATTACTGTCACTGTGGCATTCATTTTAAAAATGAATGCCACAGTGACAAAAATTATATAATTATCATTTGCATGGTTAACATTCACATTATTAAAAATAAATTTTTCATATATATTTTTTTCATATTTATGTAATATTTAGGCTCAGTTCATTATAATTAGACATTGATAAAAATTTTAATTTAAATGGTGTTTATGCAACTCAATTTCCACTGGAGAATAAATTAAATCTATAGGTCTTTGTAAAAATAATTACATAACTTTTCTTTTGATTATTTGTTAACTTCTAGATGCTATCCAGATACTACCTTGGATATTAATATTGAGTACTTCTAATTGGACTATGCTGATAAAGATTTAAACATTTGGAGTAGTACTAATAATTAAAAATTATCAATAAAATTCCAAATTTTCAGTTGAAAATTATCTTTAAAATCCAAAAAAAAACATTTTGCAGGTTACCACCTGGTGTAATAAATGTAGTGCCTGGTGATTCAAATATTTCCAATAAAGTTGCTGCAAACCCAAAAGTCAATAAGATACTCTTTCATGGGTATCCAGATGCAATACAAAACAGAATTGTTAACTTTAAAAATGATTTATCTATTGATGTCAGTGGAAGACCAACTGTTATAGTTTTTGATACAGCAGATATAGATAGTGCTGTGGAAGGAATTATTGAAACAGTTTTATGCAAAGACAGGAAGGTAAGTATATTAAATTTTGTAATGTGTAGATTTATAAATTAAATGGTATTTATATTTAAAGAGTAATTATGGTGGTGTCAGAGTATTAGTTCAAGAGTCAATTCAAGCTTCTGTAATTGATAAAATAGAAAAACGAAGCAGCAAAGTCAGACTTGGAAATTGTCTTGATAGAACTGTAGATATGTGTGATATTATAAATACATCAACAAATTCGTCTATAATAAAATATTTGGATGATGCCAAAAAATATGGAGCTCAAGTAAGTATAAATTCTGAGGTTTTCTGCTAACTGTAATTTTCATGATCTTTATATTTGCTTCCAGATTTTTCAAGCTCCTCCTTCAATTAATAACACAAAGACCATACCATTAACTGTAATCAGCAATATACAAACAGCTACAACCATAGTGTCATTACCTGTAAGTATATAGTTTGTCTGAAACTCATAGTTGTTTTAATAAATATTATAATAATTTTTTATAGGATTTTTCAGGACCATTTATTTTAATCTTACCATTTCGTACAGCTTCTGAAGCTGTTACTCTAGCAAATAATAGCAAGTATTTTTCAACAGTCAGTATATGGTCTGAAAAACATAGTTTAGCACTTGAAATTGCTTATCAGTTATCATGTAGTACTGTGTGGATTAATAGTCAGAATTTATTAGATCCTGCAATTAGTTATGGATGTACTATGTATTCTGGATGTAGTCAAGGTGGAGGCAAACAGGTATTTTTATTTTCTAGATTTAATAAATAAATAACACACTAAGTGTCATTTTTAAAATTTTTTTAAAAATTACTATTAGTGATGTAACAAATATTTGGTTACTATTCGCTATTCGGCCAAATACTGAATATTTAATCACTATTCAGCCAAATACCGAATACCTTAAAACAGGAGTAAGAAATAACAAAAACACAGTAAATTAGTCATTTTGGTATTTACATTTAATATTATCAGGTTAGTGTTGTTTGTTTATTTATTTATAACTTGTAACATGCACAAAATAAAAAAAAAATAATATTAGTCACACGTATTTACAATTTATAATTACAAATATCAGCACACGTACACACCTATTCGTTCGAGAATCATCACACACATCTGAGGTCTGACCCTGTCTATTCTTTTTAAGTGCTCGTCTTTGCTCTATCCTTTCTCTTTCCTCTATCTCTCTAGTCCACGTATGCCTATGCATATATCATAATGAGTAACATTTGATATATGCATCCTATTGAGAAATGTAATACATTAATATAACAAGTAACATAAAAATAACAGAAGCAATCTCAGCAAAGTAAATATATAAATTACACTACTGAATGTAAAAAGATTGAAAGAGCCAAAAAGCGTTCCAAAATAGAACATTGAAAATTTTAAATGAAAAAAATTAATAGGAAGAATAACGGAAAAAATATAAAAGAAAAAAGAAAAATTACCAACAAACATAATACATTAATATAACAAGTAACATAAATATAACAGAAGCAATCTCAGCAAAGTAAANTTTAATTTTGAAACATATTAAGTATTAAATTCATTCTGTACAAATTTACAAATAAGTACACTTGCAAAAGGGCTTTGTCATTTTTTCACTTCTAATGTAACCAAAAATTTGAATTGATTTTCTAAAATTTCAATAAACTATAAAAAACAAGTTAATAATGATGAAAATACTGGTTTCATCAATAACCTGCAAGGAACGGCCTGTCTGAAGTTGTTCCTTCATCAATTGTAGAACTTTTTCATTATTACAAACTGATTTTTTAATAGTTTATTAAAATTTTAAAAAATCCATTCAAATTTTTGGTTTGAATTAATAAAAAATTAAAAACTGATTTCACACAAATAACTTTGTTTGTTCTGTTTTAAGTGCAAAGTCTATAATTAATTAAATTGTAATTTATGTAAATTTAGTTCTGCATCTAATCAAAACATAACATAAAATTTAATTGTAGTTAATTTAATCTTGTAAATTACTTAAATTATAAAAATTACTGAAATTTTTTGAATGGATATGTATATTAAAAATACACATTACTGAATTTTTATAAAAGCATTTTGTTAACTTAATAGTATTAAAACATTAAATGTATTAAAAATGATCTCAAATTTAAATTTTTAAACAAGTAAAGTTATTGCAATTTGCATGGAATTATATTGTAACATACGCTTAATTGTTTGAAGTTCATAGACAATGTTGAATATCACAATTTTTACATTATATTTCCTCAATTCTGAAATTTATTTTTTATTCATTGTTATTTGTCTGAAATACAAGTGATGGTGTATTACATATGCATTAAGTTACTTGATGCATTATTCACTATATAGTTATATAAATGTTTTGATTAACTGCTCAATTAAAGAGACAGCAATGAAAATGAACTTTGCTGGTAACAAGCATTTAATATAAACTTCTTTTTAACATTTAAATGGACTTTAAGATAAACTGCCTTAAAAAAAACATTAAAATTTGATTTTAAACTTACTGTGTATCTTAGTATCAGTAAGACAGTATTTTCAAGTTTTTCATTAATTAAAAATTTCTTCTCTTGGGTAGCATTTGTTCAGTTGAGTACTGAGAAACTTTTTTCCAGAATTTGTGTTCAAATATGAAATTATTCAAGTACCAAGACACCACTGTATTTTGTTCATCATTTACAAACGATTGCTTACCTACAGTTAAAAAAGCTTAATAACACTTACCTAAAAATGTTTAAATAAATTTTACTAAATACAAAGTTTAATCTATAACAAGTAAAACGGCGAAACTGTATTTGGGACAAGACTATGTCTCGGAGACGGAATCACTTTGATGCTCAAGACAGGTTTCGTTCTCATTCTCCTATCTTCTTTGATATCGCTGCTTTTGCGCACGATCATTCAAACTTCGTCTGCCACGACCACGAGATCATCCACGATGCATCTTCGATGAAATTAACCTATCTAATTTCAAAATTTCTCTCCGTTGTGTGTCGGCCCAGGTTGAATTTTTGTTGATGTGTAACAAAAAGTTCCTGTTTTTGAAAAAAAGAATCGTGGCTATTGTATTGTCTGAAATTATTTTTTTATTTTGCACAAACAATATACAGTTTAACCCGATTATAATGTCATCGAATGTAACGACGACCCTAATATAACGTCAAATTTTTATCGGTCCTACGATTTTACTATACTAGATAATGTTAAAAAAAACCCACATAAAACCAAATTCAAATATTTTTGCTGTGGAAGCTATCCCGTATTTGACAATATGGCTCTTCCATTGGGAATACACATATACGAATTTATATTCAAATATACACGACATAAAACCATTTTAACGTCATATTTGAAGCACACTCAAATTTACAAAATTAGATTACAAATTTTATTTAACATAGAAGAAACTACGTGTTCGGTCCTAAGGTCAGAGTTCACTTCTTAGAATGACTGTGGGTGGCACTCTCTCCCACCTGACTTCAGTGGGGTGAGGTGGCTGTTTTGCCTGTTTGTAGAAGAGGGTTGCAATTTTGTATTTTATTTTGACTCGATTCTCGGTCCCCCGACTATCTACGAGTCTGGATTTTTTATGCTCAAATGATTTGGGCACCGAATACTCTGTGCCAAATATTAACTGTTGACATGTATTCCTTCATACTTCTATACTAGTAAAAAAATCGGGCAGTACGATTTTATAAACAAGACATAGTGTTGTCAAAAAGAAAACACAATGACAGTCTTAATGGCTAAAGTCTGAAGCAATGATGATGACAGCTGGTTAATTGGAAAGCTATAAAGTAAACCTGACAAAAGACACAAAAAAAATTAAAACGTTCAATATTCTGAAATCCACAGCAAATTTTAGACAACGTGTATGATTACTTGAATAAAAAAAAATATCAAATAACAGAGTTTGCACTTGAAAGTTGTGAAATTTTGTACAGACGATTTCCCAAATTCTTAAGCTGTGTTAGAGTGAAACCAGAAACAATGTTGTAGTGGGGATATTTCCAATTTTCCAAACGTGTTAGAGCAAAACCATGTTGTAGAAGTGCCATGTTTTATGAGGGATATCTGCAGTGGCATATAGTGACATTTGATGATAAGGAAGCTGTGTTGGCCCTGGATAGAATCATTGGAAGCGTTATACAATATTTTGGTGTGTATCATCCACTAGCTAAACTGCGTGAGGTTGGTGCCCTGTAAAGTGCATGCATGAATGTGTGTAATCTTGCTGCTTTATGCCATTCAAATATTTTTGCTGTGGAAGCTATCCCGTATTTGACAATATGGCTCTTCCATTGGGAATACACATATACGAATTTATATTCAAATATACAATAGCAATCATATCTTTGTTTTTCACATGTAGTGTAGAAATTTGTAATAAGATACATAATGTGGTTATAATAAAATATTAATTTTAATTCAAATTACGTTAAAATATGAAAATAATCGCACATCATGTATTTATATTTAGAAAATTTAAGGGAAGTGGCATGCTTCCACAGCTTCCATGGACAGCACACAACTGGATACCTGTATTTCTATTCTTTCAAAAAGAAATTAAAAGATATTGGATGAAAAAACAGTTTGGAAAAATATTCATTTCAAAGTAATAAATTTATAAATTTATTTTAAGTTTTAAAATACAAAGAGTAGAACTGTCTTTTTGATATAAAGTTATTTTTTCTAATCAAGTGATTTTACACTTCAATTTTAAATTTCATATTGTTTTCCAGTTGTTCAGTTTCATTATTCAGTTATTCTATTTTGGAAATGAGGAGTAAATTTTTTATGAACATTAGCAAGTTGAGGCTGAAGATTTAAATGCTAAAACATGTATGTCAGACATTTAGCGCTGCTTTCCTGTAAGCCTAGAACATTCCAAACACCATTATCAAATGGCGTTTGGAATGTCGAGCATGATTCCACCGACTATCCAAACACCATTGTCAAACTTCTAGGCACTGAATGTCCGACATACACGTTTTCGTATTTAAAACTTCGGCCTCAACCTTGCTATTGTTTTAAACTTTAAAAAATAAATTTATTGCTTTCATTAATATTAGAAAAATTGCATTGATTTTGATATAAGTTCAATTTACTTTTTTACTAAATAAAGTATAGAATAATTGATAAGTGCTAATATTTAATTGAAATAATTATTTTATGTTTTTAAATATGGCAATATTATATGCTACACATTCAAAAATTTCTTATAATTTTTGAAAAGTTTTTTAATATATAAGTGTAAGTTTTGTTTTTGAAATTCTAGGACATATTTCTAGCTTATGGATTTTAATAAAATATTTCTTTCATAATTTTAACAGTAACAATGATAAAAATAAAAATTATTTATAAGAGAAACCAAAAGATTCAAATAATAAATGAATGTAATGTAGAATTTTTTCCTATTAGTTAAAAATGGTTATGTATGAAATATATAAACACAAATAAATAATAGACTAAATAAAATATTTTTTTGTTTTTTGATTTTATTTCACATCATCTTTGCTCAAAAATTTTTTTTAATATTTAAAATTATTCAAATCAACTACGTTCAAGTTTTATTAATACTTCGTATTGTGAAATATGAATAGATGTGTTTTGAATTTAATCAATTTAAGTTTCTTAAATAATTTTTGTTTACATGGTTTAAACTTTCTTTATACTTCATTAAATATACATATTTTGAATATTATTTTAAAACATTTTTTTCCTATATTTTTATATTGATTTAAGTTTCATTCGAAATAAAACTTCAATTATTGTACATTGAAAATTTTTATTACTTAAAATATGTGTTTAATTAATGATTCAATTTTAAAAATTTAGAATATAATCTATTGTTAAATGTATCTTATACATTAATTGTATTTTTGCTAACAGGATATAAGAAAGCTTAATGAATTAGTTATTAATAATGCCATAATTAACCATATACTCAGACTCAGCCTCTTAAGCAATATACTAGATACATCCAACACACCTTATTGCTGAGAACATCTATTTATTACACAAAACTAATGTTTTTGGCCCAATTTATGGGTCATCTTCAGGTTACTGTTATTCGACTCTAATACAAAATCGAACACGTTCAAAATTAAACCAAATTAGAACATACGTTTAAATTAAACTAATAGAATAAGCATAACCAAAATAAAACAATAAATAATAAAAACCAAAATAACACAAAAAATGAAAATAAAATACGGTGATTGTCCGTAAACACTAAGGAACAATTCCTTATACATTAACCCAGATATCTATTGAGTCACGGCAGACGCATTATTACGCGTGTTACTTCTTACTATGTATTTCCAGGATGACAGTAACACCATCACATCCTTATAATTTAAACATCTGTCAGCCAAACTCGCTCTGTAAATTTCGCATTTCTCAGTTATGGATGACAACTTTTGTAAGAATTTTGGCATCCTCCCATTTAACAACCGAACCATCTGCTTGCGCCATTTTGGATAATGCACTTGTTTTTTGCGACATCGTATCGGTGCTCCTTAATCCTCACCCTAAGGTTTCTATTCTAGTAGAAAAGTGTAAAGGACCAACATACATTCTGGAAAAACGTATGCATAGGCATTTAACACAACTAATTGAAAACTACTAATTTGTCACAAAGGACGCGTTTAGTTTGGTTAATGACCTGCATGATCTATGGTTAATGGACAATGAGATTGGGACAGTGATGGATTTCGAGAGTATGTTGCCATCAATAAATCTTACCTCGTGTTTTGAGGAATTAGTGAACCTGTTATGTGAGTTACATCCAAAAGCATACGAACACAGAAAAGATTTAGAGATAATGGTTGATCTGATATGCTTTCAGTCGTTTTTCAGTTTCCAAGGTAAAGTTTATAAGCAGTTAAGGGGTGTCCCGATGGGCAGCCCGATGTCTGGCCTGCTCTGTGAGTTGGTGGTGAGAAAAATAGAACGCATGACGCTTATCAACTATAATGAATACATAATCATGTATAAAAGATATGTAGATGATGTTCTAATTATTTGGAAGAATGACGCAATGATAAAACGATTCTTAGGCCAAGTGAACTCTAACCAACATGGCTTAAAACTTAACCTGGAGCAAATTAGTAACAAGGAGCTACACTTCTTGGACGTCAGCATTGAATTTAAGAATGGAACTTTATGCACGAAGGTCTACATCAAGCCCACGCATGATTCGATGTATATTCCGGCAAATTCTAATGACCCAACGGTTTATAAACTATTTGCATTTAGGGCGCTAATCAGAAGAGCGTTTCTCTATTGCTCAAATGTAATGGACACGATGAATGAGCTGTGTAGGATCAAAAAAGTTGCAAAAGAGTTAGGGTTTGGAACAAGATCTATAGAGCGTTTAATAGAAGCGTACGTAAAACCTAGGAGCAGCTCTAAGAAGAAACCGGAGGCTGTGGGTAACTTCGCAAAGTTTACGTATAATAAATGTCTCTTCCCGATTATGAAGCAAATAGCGAGACACAAAAACGCCAGTATAATATGTAAAAGGGCCCCCACAGTGTATAGGTTGATTAGAAATGACAAAGAAAGAATTGATGATAATGAACAGGCAGGAGTATATGCAATTCCCTACAAAAATGACCAGTTGGGAATCGATAAGGACTACGTTGGGGTCACTAATAGAAACCTTAGGGTGAGGATTAAGGAGCACCGATACGATGTCGCAAAAAACAAGTGTACAACAGCATTATCCAAAATGGCGCAAGCAGATGGTTCGGTTGTTAAATGGGAGGATGCCAAAATTCTTACAAAAGTACGCTCGCCAACGTTGTCATCCATAACTGAGAAATGCGAAATTTACAGAGCGAGTTTGGCTGACAGATGTTTAAATTATAAGGATGTGATGGTGTTACTGTCATCCTGGAAATACATAGTAAGAAGTAACACGCGTAATAATGCGTCTGCCGTGACTCAATAGATATCTGGGTTAATGTATAAGGAATTGTTCCTTAGTGTTTACGGACAATCACTGTATTTTATTTTCATTTTTTGTGTTATTTGGTTTTTTATTATTTATTGTTTTATTTTGGTTATGCTTATTCTATTAGTTTAATTTAAACGTATGTTCTAATTTGGTTTAATTTTGAACGTGTTCGATTTTGTATTAGAGTCGAATAACAGTAACCTGAAGATGACCCATAAATTGGGCAAAAAACATTAGTTTTGTGTAATAAATAGATGTTCTCAGCAATAAGGTGTGTTGGATGTATCTAGTATATTAATGCTCTTTTGCAACTGTGGCTGTTCTGTTTTCTTTATTAGGATTTTTGTTTATTAAACATATAAAATAATGTCATTCTTTCAGTGGAAGATGTATGAGGAAGTATAGGAGCTATTGTCCTTCCTATTGACATAAAAACTTAACATTTGCTCAAACTTCAAAATGTTGTTTTTAAAACATTTATAATGGCAAATACATTTTATTGGACTATCTGCAATACAATTATTTTACAAATATTAATAAAAGATACTTATAATTACTCAAGTATTTTTAATTTTTCAGTTAATTCCCCTTTGTGTTCTGGATAGACCACTGCAGTTTTTGTCTGTTGTACATAATACTTTAAAGCTATGCACAGGGTCTTGTTTTATCATATGCCATGACCAAATTTTTAAGTTATAAAGTAACTTTTGCCTTTAAATCACAAAATTTAACACTAGACACTACAAAATTGTAATTTATTTAAAAATTAAAATTATAATTTATAAAAAAAATAAAAATGCTTTATTTTTTTGAATTAATATATAACTAATAATACGTAATAAACATGTTAAAAGTAATGCATACAATATAAATAACTTACAATACATGCATGCATACAGATATATACTGTAATTGATTTGTATTTAGAATTAATTTACATAGTTTACATTTTAATTTCCAGAGTTTAAAAGTTCCTAAATTTGTTTAATTTGTTTACAGAAAAATGAATGTATTTAAAATATTTTTTATATGATATGCATATATGATTTTTATTCTTAGGCAGTTTTAGAATTTACTATACCTACATGGCAGACTGATAAACCATTTGAGGAAGTCAATTTTAATTTGGATTTTGGAAAGAAATCAAATATCAAATCTGAAATGTTTAGTAAAGATCAAACTTCATCAACAGTTCAACACTCAAAGTAATTTCATATTTTTACTTGTTATTGTCTAATTGTTATGTATTTATTTATATAATATAGTAATAATTTATAAAATAGCTAAATTATCAGAATATTGTACTATAATTTTCTATTTTTTTAAGTATAATGTTATTTCTTAGCAAGTTATTTTGTCATTATAATATTTATATTGGTTAATATGAAATAATTTCTATAGATTAGCTGTTGGGCATAAGTACCAACTGTATTATGATGGAAATCAAAAGAAGCCAGCTAAACAGACATATTATGCAGTTTTGAATAAAGATAAGAATATTGTTGCATATCTAGCAGAAGCAAATGCAAGTGATGTATATAATGCCATTCAATCTGCAAATTCTGCATTGTGTGGGTAAGATATTTTTAGGTTGTTTTTCTTAATTCTTTATATCCTTTTTATAACCTTAAAATTTTATTAGATGGAAAAGCAAAAGTGGGCAAGATAGAGCACACGTTATGTATAATATTGCTAAAAATTTAGAATTAAAAAGTGATGAATTTAGTAAATTGATATCGGAAATGACTAATGAATCTTTTGAAGAGAGTACAAAGGAAGTGCAGTTGGCAATTCAAAGACTGTTTAATGCAGCTGCACAATGTCTTAAGCACAAAGGTGTTGTTGCAGTAAGTATTTTTACAGAAATATATTTAATTACATTGTTGAACAAATATTTTTTTAATGGTTTTTCATTTAATTTTTTTGTTTTAATGCAGAACACTTTATTTATGGGTACTGTACTACAAGTTGCAGAACCATTGGGTGTGATAGTCATTATATGTCCAGATATAAATTATCAATCATTCCTATCTTTTATTTCATTAATTTCACTTGCCATTGCCATGGGAAATACAATTGTTGCAATTCCAAGTCAGTCTGGTTCATTATCAGCAATTAAAATGCATCAGGTAATAAAATTTTAACATAATACTTATATTGAATTTGAATAATTGATTCCTTTTCTATTTTAGGTTTTTAATAACTCAGAAGTACCAAAAGGAGTAATAAATATTTTAACAGGAGATCAACATCATTTAACACATTGTCTAATTGAACACCGAAATATTCATTCTATTTGGTATCATTCCAATTCGGCAGAAGGTGCTGCATTTGTTAAACATATATCAGCTACTAGTAATAGGCCTTTCTGGATAGGATATCATCCAAAACGTGATTGGAATAACAAGGAACAAGGACAAGGAAAAGAATTTTTATATCACTGTTTAAAGTATAAATCAATTTGGTTACCTGTTGGAAACACTTTTCAATAGAAATATAAAATATTTTTCAAAAGTATTGAAACAAATTGAAAATAATTTTTTAGAAATTATATATTTTCTGTGAAAATTGAAGTTTTATAAATGCTTTTTTTTTAAATTGTCAATTAAAACAATTATGAAATGTAATTTTGCATTTTTGAATATGTTCAGCATCGAATAAAAAACGAATATATCAAAGTTAAAATAATAATGAAGAAAAATGAAATTCTAGAACGGGTGGGCAACCTTTTAAGTATGCATGTCAGTCGCCAAATCTGATGCAAAAATTGTTTCAAAAACCGAAATGTTTGAAGCATATTATTTGGTGCTTTTTAAATATTGAGGTAACATATAAAAAAATCCATATACTGTGTACATACAATAAATTCTTTACGTAACAAGAAAAAAACGTATAAAAAGATGTCAGATATTTATTAAAGTGGGTCCTGGGCTACATGTCTGAAAAAAGTTAGCGTGCCACGTTTAGCAGGTATGCCAAGAGTTGTCTACCCGTCCTAGGATATATCGTAATTCTAAATCACACACATATAGCGCATGACAGGTATTTAAACAATTGTATTACATTATTCCCAAAACATTTTAAGTATAAAAAAGTTATTTAATTCGTATTAATAGTACATAAATATTTTAATCTTCGATGTTCCAAAAGCAGAATGGCATAAGAAAGTTTAAAAAAATTGAAATCTTATGAAATAAATTTATTGCACTTTGTATATTTTTACAAATTGCTTATGAAAGGTATTAATTTTTATAAATTTAAGAATTTAGGATATTTCATAATAATAGAATCATTTCAATTTGCAATTGATTCCTCATACAGGGTAAACTAATGCTGTATCTTCAGATTAAAATTTTTAAATGTTAATTGTATTTCATTTTAAAGTACAGTACAAAATACTTTTATTTTATATCCAGTGACTATTGCATTATTGGACATATGTGCAGTAAAACCTCGATTTGCGTCTCATTGGATTGTTATAGTAATGGAAGTAAATCGAGTGTGATGCTAACCGAAGGGTCTCTAATGTTAAAAATGTGATGTAGATCGGAACACAAGGTTGAGTTCGGATGTGAAAGTTAAATAATGATGACTATTACATGAAATTTCAAGCAAAGTATAGAATATAGAAAAAGTGGAGCAGATAAATGAGGAGATGGGCGATTGTCTCGTATCCACAGGATTCAAAGTCAGTGGATTTCCTCCTGAATCCTTGGAGTATCTTCAACATTCAAAGAAATTAATGAAAATGGTCTGACGACTTTGAAGAGTCGTCAGACCATTTTCAACGTATCGAGTGAGTGAAACCTAAAATCTTTTGGGAGCAATCTGAAATATTTACAAGAGCTATGAGAGTGAAACTGAAATAAGGACAGAATACATTGAATTTGACCGCAACAAACTTTATTCAGATCATTTCATGGAAGGAACGTTTTCATAATTAAAGAAACTGCAGAAGAAAGAGAATTGACTAGATCCGTCAATGGAATATTCGAGTCATATCTTTGGATATTTAAGGAATTGTCTTTTCAAATAAATGCAATACTGCACGTCATTTTAATTCAATTTTTGATTTAATTTTGCAGAGCTTGCCGCATCAAAAGGGAAATAAAAGAACTGGAAGATTTGGGAAGCAATAGATGAAAATAGAAATTAGAACGTTTTACAATTTGATGAAAGGCAGTGGCGTAGATACGGTTTGATCCGCCCGGGCGGTCTGTCAATTGCCACCCTTCCTTGAGATAAATACATAATACACGTCAAACCTATTTAGACAATATTTTTCAATGACGGTCATATAATTTTTGTAATTGTTAACTCTAGTTAATAATTTTACTCTTATTAAAAAAGTATTTAAAATTGTTTATAATGCAAAAACTGCCGCCTCCATCGCTCAATCCTAGCTACACTACTGATGAAAGGGTGATTCACCGATTTCTCACTGTTCCCTTTATTGGACTTTATTGGATTTTTTTATAAAACCCATTCCTAACATCGAAATTAAGCTTTTTGCCATTTTACAATACAGTGATAAAAAATATAAAAAGTTTTAAAATAAAATATAACAGATGACGCCAGTTTTAAAATTTGGTGAAAAGGTTAAAATACCAGCATTAGCCGGTCTTTTCCGGTAATCAAACTATCTCTGGCTTACACTATATTTTTTTTAAATGACACTTTACAAGTTAAAGTGAGATTTATTTATGAAAAAATAGATATACATATAAATATAAATATATATATATATATTAGGAACTATACAGTACATCCTATTTCAATCCCATTATTTGAAAATAAACATGTCAGAAAGTCAGTCAAAATATCATTGTAACGTAAAAATTAACTTTAATGTAAGTTAACAGAAAAATTTTCTTTTGTAATACAGTAGAACCTCGAAAACTCGGCCTAATGTGGACCGAAGGGTCGCCGAGTTTGTGAAAATGCCGGATTATCGGGAATGGGGTTAAAAAAAATAAGTATGAGTGTTTCCTCAGAAAATAATGTACTGTACTTGTATGTATTGTTTACTTGAGAATACAACAGAGAATAAACTGCCCAAATACCCTTAAACAAAGGAAAAGTACGTCCTTTATGAAGGCATAGAGCCTTTACTACATGAAAATGAAAATTAATGAATACACTGTGTACAGTAATTTACCTGATAAGACAGACCTCAGAAAAATACTTTATGAGAGCTTTTATACTTTTATAAAGCTGTCTATAATGAAAATTAATTAACTAAGGATTTTTTTGCCCTGCCAGGGTGTGGCCGAGTTATCCGGAGTGCCGGGTTATCGAGAGCCGAGTTTTCGAGGTTCTACTGTAACATCATTTATTTTCGACTCATTTCTTCTAATTTAAAATATAAACATTTTCGGAATAAAAGATTATCATCAATGTTTACACAATTTTAAAAATATTGAATGAAGTGTTTCTCTAACTTCATACAACTGTGACAATTCACAATTGTATGAAGTTATAGAAACACTTCATATGTAGAGCATATAAAAATATTCGATGTTTTACAAACGCAATACTTTCTGGAAAATGATAACTTGATATTGAATTCATTCACAAGATATCGAATGAATTATTTTTTAATTTTAAATTTTTCTTAAGACAGAATTTTTTTGTGCCTTTCTCATATGTCTTTATACCCTTCTGGTACATTTATATCCTAAAATTGTTTTAAAATGTTAGCATCTTAGTCTGCTGAATTGAAGGAGAGTAACTTATGCTTAGAAAAACGTGCATATTCTTTGAAATTAAAATAAATTGGAATTAGTCGTGTAAAGAATTTTATTTTACATTCTCGAACATGAGTTTATTGTGTTTATACGTGATGCCGATTGATACGGAATTTAAGACATTACATTCAAATTCGAGTCGAAGTACTTAGTATTAAGTTTGATTATTTAAATAAAACTCATCAAAATTTCGTTTATTTCTATTTTAATGGGTAAAATTTACAGAAATATTCCGACATGTAAACTTTTAATGAAAGTAATTTCCGATGATCTATACTAAGCATGTACCGATTAATCGGTAAGTAATCGCTAATCGGCCGTATCGGCCACTTTGCCGATTAATCGTATTGATAATCGACCAATTTTACATTTTAGTATTTTTGTTAGAATGTTAGTATAATGCTATTAATAAAAAAATAATAAATTTATGTTATATATTTATTATTTATGAAATGACAAACTGAATATTAAAAAAATATTACAATTCAAATTATTCCTTTTATCGATACATATAAGGTACAATATAACCTATTCAAAGCTATCTCTTTTATTTAAGTTAAAGTTTAAGCTTTAAACCAGTGTTTTTCAACGGGGGCGATATCGCCCCCATGTGGGCGTTTTTCCATGTTGAGGGGGCAATTAGTAACAATTTATATTTTGGGGGCGAAAAACAATAATTAATTAAACAAATAACATTATATTAGTCACTAGTCTATTCAATGCAGTACGAATTTGGCGTTAGCCTTGGCCCTCGGCATTGGAATTTTGAAGTGAAGGGGGCGATACTACGTAACGGTTTTATTGAAGGGGCGATACTACGTAACGGTTTTATTGAAGGGGCGATACTACGTAACGGTTTTATTGAAGGGGGCGATACTACGTTGAAAGGGGCAACGATTCGTCAGAGGTTGAGAAACACTGCTTTAAACATATAAAACTAAATTTAATATTCAAACTGTAAAACCCTTAAATTGTAATGCAAAAACATGAGAATTTCACTATTTTCAGGGCATAACCTATTTCTTGCCGGCTGATAAATGTTACTTCCAGTGCTGAAAATCCTTTCACTTTCAATGGAAGATGCTGGGGCACTTAAATATTTCATAGCTATTTTGCTCAAATTAGAAAAAGTTCTTATGAACTTCACCACAAAAATAGGTCACTATGTCTTTTTTTAAGGGCTAAAATAAATGTTAGTATGTTTCTAATTCTTGATCGAAACGTTTCTTCGTTTCTTTAGTTTTTTCTGTCTTTTTAAAAACATGCAATTCTTCATTCTTTCGTTTACCAGAAGCTAATTCATCAAATAAATCAGAGATTCATCTTGATCATCATCAGAAGTAGACGCTTCAGAATTTAATTCTTATTGAGGTTGGAATTATCAGCATCTTCTAAGCTATCAATTGCCCATATTTTTATTTTCTGTACCATATCCTCTTTTTGAAATTTCATTTTGAATCTTCGATCTAATAAAGGTGACAAGCATAAAGACTTGCTTTCTATATATGCTGAAATTTTTTTTTATTGATTTTTCTAGTTCTTCTATTGTGGTATTAATGCCACTAAAGGAAATACAGCTCTTTGCTTTTGATAAGAATAATTTCAGAGTTTCTATTGTGGGAATTATTGAAGATGAGGTGGTTTCTCGTTTGCTGGCTTCCACAGTAATTTCTTTGAATGGTTTTAAAAGTAGAACAATTTTTTCAACGAGAGACCACTGATATGGGCTCAACGTAGGAATTTTATTTTCTATAGCAGGGATGGCGAACCTTTTTGTGTTCGCGTGCCATATTGTAAGCATACTTAGCTTCAAAGATGTTTATGCGTGCCAA